AAGGTAGGGAAGAAGAAAAAGATGACGGCAATGATGAGACTCACTATAACTGAGCTTGAAACTGCTCTAAAGGTAGCAGCTAAATACTGTTACATTCAGAACAATGAATCACAAAAATATTTAAATCTTTGTATTGGAATGTGTGGGTATTATTATGCATGTATCATTGCAATTTTTCATTTTAGTAATTTTGTGCATTCTTTTGATCAGGAATCCCATGAATTGCTGTCAGAAAGAGATCGAGAAATAAGAAAGCTCAAGAAAGACATGGAACACTATAAACAACAAATTGCCCAAGAAGTTGCAACTAAAACTAAACTAGCTCAGTCTCTTGATGAAAGCCACCAGCAAGCGCTGGAATTGGAAGAGGCTCTGCAGAAGTGGCAGCTTTCAATGAAAGAGTACCAGCAACGTGTGGCACACCTTGAGGCAGCCCTGCTCCAGGAGCATGCAAGATCTGCTGAGCAAGAGAAAAAATATGGAGAGATTTATGCACAGAAGAACCTTGAAGTGGATCAACTTAAGAGTCAGTTGATTGAAACTAGACAGAGACTGTCTAAAGACCCTGCAGCATTCCCGGGTAGGAAAAGTAGCAGTTCATCGGCTCCCCAGATTGATGAATCACAGCTCCTGTTTTTAAAGCAAGCAGTTTATCACTTATTGACTGACTCTCATGCTGACGAGCATCTAAGAGCTATTGTAGCCATCTTGAACTTTTCTGCTCAGGAGAGGAAGTGTGTGTATGCAAAGGTGGCAGAAAAGAAAGGCAGTGGCTACAGCAAAAGACAATAAAAACAAAATGAATAGTTTTATAAAATTTCTTTTTAAAACTATACAATAACATCATCACTGGGATAAAGCACAAGTATTGTAGCTACATGTAACTTACAGTGGATGTGTGCACTTTGGGTATCAAGAAAAATTGACAGAGGTGTGTTTTTATGCTGCAGTTATTGTTATACATAATGACAAGGAATGCTGCTAGACTAGAATGTATTGTGTTGCATGCAAGCAGGCAGATAATAATTTAAGCTGTTTCTAATAATAAACCATAACATGAATGTGTTGCCTTACTTACCAAATACATGATGCTGAATTAGAGGATCAATCAGTGAGAATGAAAAAACAAGAAGAATGCAGAGAGAGAGAGAGAGAGTAGTCTTAAAGGTGTGAACTTGAAGTCAATGAATAATAATTACACAAGTCAATGAATAAAATTAATAATTAATTTTAACCACACCCATCTGATCTGCAGCTCAGAAAAAGATCATGGGTCTGCTCTCTGAAGGAAAGCCTCTCTCCTGGGAAGAGACGAAGAAGAATGCCTGGAAGGTACACAAAGTCGGGATACAGCAGTTCATATCTCTGTTTCACAAACTGAAGGACCGCAAAGGCGATACACTGAAATGGGGAGACGAGGTAGCACAACTAAAACATCTTTATATTCTATTTTCCTTCTGTTTCCAGGTGGAATACAATCTGATTAGTCTTGATGAAGAGAAGAAAGTAGCAAAGCTCTCTCTTCTCGGCCCTCAGATACTTGAAGTCTTACAGAAACCAGAATCAGATGACCCTCTGTAAGATTTCCTCATGCAATCATGTACATTAACCCC